ATAAGCGGGATTCTATGCTTAATGTGCTAGAAAAAGAGAAATGTGTGGCTTTAGCAATTTGTATAAAACAACTTACTCCAGGGCAGTGAGAAATTAAAAACAAAAATTCTACCACATTAGGATAACGGAGAGATTTATTAGACAACATATGTAGTCAGTGCGAAGCTTATTCTTTTTGTGACCCCACTAGTTTGTTCATTTTTCCTGTGATGTGATGGATGATGTTTTTCATGTTACCCAAATGCAGTAATCTCTAATCCTCAAAAGGCTTTATGATTCACGATTTCTGGAACATTAACTTTGTTGAACATCCTATATGGAAACTGGCATATAGAGAGGAGACCTGACAACAGAGAAAAACATAACAATTAGAATAATGAATTGGTAGCCTTTAGGACTAAAGCCATGACAATGTGTCTCCTATAGCAATCTCTCACCCAAATAAATAATGAGAAAATGTGTAGCAATAATGTGGCACGATCTTCCCTGCTCCAATTTTTTGCCAGTGTCGCAATTTCCATCAAAAATTAGACTCTAAATTGTTGCTTTAGCTTAAGATTGCATTTTGAGGAATTTTGGCGGCAGACGCTATCCCTACAGTTTTCATAGAAAATTTTTATCACCAGAAATTTTGCCGATATGAAAAGAATTATAATTAATGTTTCAGAGTGCATTTAGTGGTAACAACTTATCAAGAATGCTTTTTGAATATTAAGTACTCCATCGTAGGTTAAAGGACGATTTTGAAATTGAACTACTGTAATGCTGCTATGTTGCTTAGAAACGCATCTATATTGAACAAATAAATGTCTCTTATCTCAAATTAAAAGGAAAGAAGTTAGGGAAGGAAATGCTAGAAACGATATTTAGTTGATCTTAATATTAGAGCATCATACAGCACCTTGTTGAGGCAGACTTGTTTAGTTATGATCGAATGAGGTAAAGGGAGCGAAGATATAAAAGCTCAGAATAAGTAATTCAACATATGCTCAATCTGACTTGTGATTAATAATTACAAGGTAAAGGCGCAGTACATCAGTGCATGGCTATTAATAACAAGAATTTAAAAAGAGGTTCTATTACTCCTTCTAAGATGAAATAAAACATATTGCCCTTTTTGCTGTATCTCACGGATTGCACCAGATGAAGGCTTACCAATTAGTAATTATTATGGAAAGAAAGAAGCTAGAATATAAGCTAGAATTAACATCCGTACTAATGATGGACGTACTATAAGACTTATTGGCGTACGATGAACAAAGCAATAAATCATTTATGTTATTATTATTATTGTAGAAGGAGACACACGTGGGAAAATCTTATTTGTCCAAACCCTCAAGAAAGTTACCCATCTGTAAGCTTTTTATTCACTTGATGAAGGTCGTTAAGGATTGGTAAGGCTTATAGGAGTGCCGTATATACTATCTCTCATAAATACACTATAGTGATGCCAAATTGTTAATACAGTATTCCAAGGACCCCACTGTCGCACCGTTACGTTTTGGAAAGTCAATAGTACTTAAGAAATATTTCCTGAAAACTCTGACTCCGACTTTCAATGGGTTGATTGGAATACTTTCTGCTATAAGCGCTGCAATTAACCCTTATCTCTCTACGCCATAGTGAGAGCGAATAGGGAAGGGCTTCAATTTATTCAAAT